AAAGGTCTTTCCCAGAGATGGTGACATGATCATGTAACTCGGGATTATTTGTGAGGAACCGAAGACCGATAAGATGAGAGTAATTGGGTAAGTGAAGAGTAGTAACAGTTGGTGTGACCCTTTCTTCGTCATTAGAAGTTTTTAAAATGGAGTTTATGATAATGCGATTTAAAGTAAAGGACACACCATTAACAAAACAATCGAGGGTATGAGGAGCAGATTGGGTATCATAAGAGAGATTAGCAAAAAATTCCTTGATCAGTGTGAGGTAAATGACACAGTCAAGTTTTAACAAGGATGACCATTTTTGGTTATCGAACCAAGTTTTTATAGGAATGGAATGCTTGTCAAAGAATGCAAGATCAATGGTTCTGCCAGAAATTACCTTTCGTCGGTTAAAATCCTTGTTGAAGAAGGATCGAGCTTCATTGTTCTTAAAACATTGGACAAAGGAAGAGGTAGCAGCAATGGCTGAGGAGGTGGAGGAACGAGGACGCTTTCTTGTTTGAACTGGAGGAGGATCTTGAGACTCCATGACGAGAAGAAGTAGCGGTCTCTAGGAGGAGGGAAAAGGATCGGAATGTGGATCGCCGGAATAGGAAAAAGAGGTTAGGGCTAGGGATTTAATGGTGTCGTAAGAGAGATGGGAAGGGTCGAGGAGTATATATATATTTGAGAGGGTGTTAACCCTCGTAAAGAGAGGGGTCGATCCTTCGAATATGAAAGAATCGCACGGCAAGCCCTTAGGCAACGAACAGGTATCGACCCTTAGGAACGGGGGGTCGACACTAAAAAGCAGTGCCCTTAAAACATCAGGTGTCGACACATTCGAAGAGAGGTGTTGACCCTAAAAAGGCAGTGAACCAAAAATAGAGTGGTGTCGACACCAGAGAAGACGTGTGTCGACCCTTGGTAATGAAAAGCGCAGGGCTGATTCACAGGGTGTCGACCCTATAGAGTAAGGGGTCGACTCTTAGAGGTCCCGAAGAGCAAAAAACTAGTGCAAATCATAACAAATTTCACAAGGAAGTATAATAATACATAGGAACCATCATATAGGAATATTTAACATGCCAAGCTTAGTTCGTATAAGGTAAAATTGGTTCTCATTGGGAGGCTTGGTAAAGATATCGGCTAGTTGTTGGCTTATAGGCACAAATTTGAGTTCAATGTCACCTTTAAGTACATGATCTCGTAGAAAGTGGTGCCTTATTTCAATGTGTTTAGTGCGTGAGTGCTGTATGGGATTTTTTGAAAGATTAATGGCACTAGTGTTATCACATTTAATGGAAATGTGATCAAAGTGAAATCCAAAATCAAAAAGTAGTTGTTTCATCCAAAGTATTTGAGCACAACAACTAGCAGCGGTAATATATTCTGCTTCAGCTGTAGATAAAGCCACTAAATTTTGTTTCTTACAAAACCATGAAGTGAGTGAATTTTCAAGAAATTGACAAGTACCACTAGTACTTTTTCAGTCAAGTCTACATCCCGCAAAATCGGCGTCTGAGTAACCATAAAGATAAAAAACATTTGTTTTAGAGTACCAAAGACCCAAAAGTAGAGTGCCAACGAGATATCTAAAAATGAATTTTACTGCGGTGATGTGTGATTCTTTTGGAGCTGATTGAAAATGAGCACACATACATACACTAAACATGATATCGGGCCTACTAGCTGTTAGATAGAGTAAAGAACCAATCATACCTCGATATTTCTTTTCGTCTACTGATTTACCTTGCTCATCTTTGTCGATTTTAATCGATGTGCTCATAGGAGTTGCTGTGGGTTTGGATAAATTCATTTCAAATCTTTTGAGGAGATCTTTGATATATTTTGCTTGAGATAGATGAATATCATCTTGGCTTTGTTTTAATTGCAATCCGAGAAAGTATGTCAATTCTCCTATCATACTCATTTCAATTTCGCCCTGCATATCCTTAGCAAATTCGTCGCACAAGGATTCATTAGTAGCTCCGAATATGATGTCATCGACATAAATTTGAACCATGAGCATATCATCATTTTTGATTTTTATGAAAAGAGTGGTATCAAGTTTTCCACGAGAAAAACCTTTTTCAATAAGAAAATTGCTCATGTGTTCATACCAAGCTCTAGGAGCTTGTTTTAAACCATACAAAGCTTTAGAAAGTTTATAAACGTGGTCTGGGTGTTTGTGGTTTTCCAAACCGAGAGGTTGTTCAACATACACTTCCTCCAAAATATAACCATTTAAAAAGGCACTTTTCACATCCATTTGGTAAAGTTTAAAATTTCCAAAACAAGCAAATGCAAGCAACATACGTATGGCTTCAAGGCGTGCAACGGGTGCAAATGTTTCGTCAAAATCAATACCATTTTCTTGGTTATAACCTTGGGCTACAAGTCTAGTTTTGTTTCGAATAACAACACCGGATTCATCCATTTTGTTTCGAAAGATCCATTTAGTTCCAATAACGGAATGTTCTTTAGGGCGAGGTGACAAATTCCAAACTTCATTTCTTTCAAACTAATTTAACTCTTCTTGCATAGCAAAAATCCAGTTTTCATCGAGTTCAGCCTCAGAAAAAGTTTTTGGTTCAAAAAAGCTAAATTACCATAGATATTATTAATAGAAGAGTGAGTTCTTACTCCTTATGTGGTGTCTCCTATAATGAGATCTTTGGGATGTCCATGAGCATGCTTCCATTCTTTGGGTAGATCATGTTCCTTTATGGGATGGGCATATTCTTTTTGAAGATCTTCTATAGAGATTTCAATATTGGGTTTCGAAGAATGAAGTTCATCATTTTCTAATAAATAAATGCCTTTAATTCTTGGTTTTGAATCTGCAGCATCATCAACAACAATATTCTTGGAAACAAATGAGTTAGATTCATCAAAAGTAACATGGATTCTTCAACGAGTAAAGTTTTTTATTAAAAACGCGATATGCTTTACTAGAATTTGCATAGCCAAGAAGTACAGCTTCATCAGATTTTGCGTCAAATTTCCCAAGATTCTCTTTATTATTATTGAGTACAAAGCATTTACAACCAAATGTACAAAAGTGGCTAATGTTGGGTTTTCTACCTTTCCATAGTTTATATGGTGTTTTCTTCAATATGGGTCTAATCATGGCACGATTAATAACATAGCAAGCAGTATTGACGGCTTTCGCCCAAAAATATCTTGGCAAATTATTTTCACAAAGCATAGTACGTGCCATTTCTTCAAGAACTCTATTTTTTCTTTCTACCACACCATTTTGTTGAGGAGTTTGAGGAGTAGAAAAATTATGATCAATGCCATGCTCATTATAAAATAAAATAAACTCATCATTATCAAATTTTCTACCATGATCACTTCTAATGGTACAAATAGTAAGACTAACCATATTTTGAATACGTTTACAAAGAGCTGAAAATGCAGAGTACGTATCACTTTTGAGTGCCAAGAAAATCACCCAAGTAAATCTGGTATAATCATCCACACAAACAAGACAATAAGATTTTCCTCCAAGGCTTAAAGTTCTAGATGGCCCAAATAAGTCAATATGAAATATTTATAGTGGTCTAGATGTGGAAATGATATTTTTGGATTTAAAAGAGACTCGTGTTTGTTTTCCTTGTTGACAAGCATCTCAAAGTCTATCCTTTTCAAAAACGATTTTTGGTAATCCAACGACCAAGTCAAGTTTTGAAAGTTTTGAAAGCAAATCCATATGAGCATGTCCTAGCCTTCTGTGCCACAACCGTCCAGATTCATTTAAAGCAGTAAGCACTTAACATCATGATTAGGAGATAAATTATGCAAATCAAATATATACACGTTCTCATCCCTATGTCCAACAAAAAGCATTGTGTTATCAGTAGAGTTTTTAATAGTGCAGTAGGATTTATCAAAAGAAACATGATTGCCTTTATCACACATTTGACTAATACTAAGCAAGTTATGCTTCAATCCTTCAACAAGCAATACGTTCTCGATAATGGGTGAGGAAGTTTTACCAATACTACCTTCACCTATGATCTTTCCCTTACTATTGTCTCCAAAGGTTACATGACCTCTTCCTTTGGATTTAAGAGTTGAGAACATTGTTCTATCGCCGGCCATGTACCTTGAGCAAGCACTGTCGAGGTACCACCGGTTGTTGCTGAATTTAGACCTAAAGCACACCTGCAAGAATCAGATTTTTGTTGGCTTTTTTGTACCCATTTTTTCTTGGGTCCATGAGAGTTAGACGTTGAAGTGTTTTTGAGAACCCATTTCTTTTTCATTCTATTAAAAGAATTTCTCGTCTCGGAACATAAAGGAGAGATGTGGCCTTTTCATCCACAGTAATGGCATGTGAGATGAGAATGGTTAGATGATGCATATACAAATGATTTTTGGGAAGTTTTAGCTTTCAAAAACAGTTTATAACCAATCCCCATTCTTACAGATGTTTGAGTTTGACTCTTGAGAATTTTGTCTAAGGTATCTCCCCCTTGAGTAAATTTTGAAAGAACATTTTTTTAATCTTCTATGTTTTCATTTAAGACATTTTTCTCATTTTTCAAGATTTCATTTTCTGTTTGTAAATCATCTACCTTTTTACTTAACATGAGAAATTCTTTTTCCTTTGAGAATTCTTTCTCCTTTTCCATTGTCAAGACTTCATTTTCTAAAGTAGTGATCTTAGTAGTTAAGGATTTCTTTCTTTTTCATTCTATTAAAAGAATTTCTCGTCTCAGGACATAAAGGAGAGATGTGGCCTTTTCATCCACAGTAATGGCATGTGAGATGAGAATGGTTAGATGATGCATATACAAATGATTTTTGGGAAGTTTTAGCTTTCAAAAACAGTTTATAACCAATCCCCATTCTTACAAATGTTTGAGTTTGACTCTTGAGAATTTTGTCTAAGGTATCTCCCTCTTGAGTAAATTTTGAAAGAACATTTTTTTAATCTTCTATGTTTTCATTTAAGACATTTTTCTCATTTTTCAAGATTTCATTTTCTATTTGTAAATCATCTACCTTTTTACTTAACATGAGAAATTCTTTTTCCTTTGAGAATTCTTTCTCCTTTTCCATTGTCAAGACTTCATTTTTTAAAGTAGTGATCTTAGTAGTTAAGAATTTCTTTTCTTGAGATAAACTTGAAACCATTTTCTTTTGATAACTACTTTTCAAACTTAATTTTTTAAATTCAGCATGCAATTCATCAAAAGCAGTTTGTAATTCATCAAAGGTAAAGGAGTCATCATTTACCTCATCTTCAAGTGCCATCAAGCATAGATTTGCGACTTCATTTTTGCAAGCATCTGTCTCTGAGTCGCTGTCATCACTATCTTCTCCCCATGCTGCGATCATGGCTTTCTTTTTATCCTTCTTGAATTGTTTTTTAGCTCGGGACATTCCGATTTGTAGTGTCATGGCTTATTACATTCATAGCAGATCACTTCGGATTTTTTATGACTTTCTCTTTTTTGAAGATCTTTGTTGAAGTCTTTTATGAAAAACTTCCTTACGCCTTGTTTCTTCTTCACAAATCTTTTGAATCTTTTGGTAATGAAAGTCATTTCTTCATCTTCCTCTGAAGCATCTTCTTCTTTCTCTTGAGATTTTGTGGTGGACTTGAAAGCTATCCCTTTCTTCTTATTTTTGTCTTCTTCTTCTTTTCCTTCTCGCATAATGATCTCATGGGTTAGGAGAAATCCCATTAGCTCATCAAGGCTCAATGTTGACAAGTCTCTTACTTCTATCACTGCAATAACTTTGTTCTCCCAACTTTTTGGCAATGATTGAAGGACTTTTCTGACAATTTTTGCATTAGTGTAAGTTTTCCCAAGAGATTTAAGACTGTCTATAATATCTGTAAAACGAGTGAGCATTTGGGATATGTTTTCATCTGGTTTCATCTTGAAGAACTCATAGTTGTGAACAAGTAAGCTCATTCTAGATTCTTTAACTTGAGTGGTTTCCTCATGAGTTACAACAAGTTTATCCCAAATTTCTTTTGTAGTGGTACAAGTGCATATTTTGTTAAACTCGGTAGCATCAAGTGCACAATATAACATATTAATAGCTTTGACATTTAATTAAATATCTTTATAGTCAGCACTAGTCCACTCACTCTCAAGTTTGGGTACTAGCATACCATTTATGGTTTTTGTGGGTACCTTAGGACCCTCACATATGATTTTCCAAACTTCATACTCGGTAGATTGAATATGCATAATCACGCGAGTTTTCCAATAGTTGAAATTTGTGCAATTGAAGAAAGGTGGTCTGTTTGAGGCTTGACCTTCTGGGAGAGAGGAGCTAGGGTTTGCCATAGATCACTCTAAGATGGTTAAGTCACACTACTTAGAGACATGGCTCTGATACCAATTGTTAACCAGGAAAGCAACCCAAGCGGGGGGTTGAATTGGGTTATATAAAAAAATTTGGTCCAAAAATAAAGTTCAAAAGACTTATGAAATTAAATGCAGTAAATAATCAATAGCTTCATAGAAAGTAAAAAGAAAAGGAAAGAAGAACTTAACGCAAGGATTTATAGTGGTTCGGCTCAACGGCCTACGTCCACTCCTCAAGAGTCCTCCTTGAGAATTTCTTTACTATGAATTAATGCACCACCAAGCTTTTCCCAACTTGTGGATTTTTACAACTGACTTGCTTCAATCTGTTGAGGATCTCTCAACGAAAAGCCTCACTTTACAAGTGTTTCACTCAGAAACTAATGAACTAGGAAGAGAGGTCCAACTGTCCTCTTTGACAAATACTATCTCTCAAAAGATGGATATGGAGGTGTAAGCTCACAAGTAAGTTTAGGACTTGCTTAGATATGAAATAGGAGAACACAAGTGAAATCACAGAGATTGAAAATGATGCTCGGTATACTTAAGTGTATTTGTAGTGAGTATCTTCTGTCTTTTTCAGATCTGGAAAAGATACAGATTTATAGCCTCCATCTGACTTATCTCTTGAAGTAAAAAACACACCCACGTGGGTCTATTAGCCGTTGGAGCTAGACAAGGAAAAAGTTTCCAGCTGTTGTAAGTGGAGCATGGATGGTACAAGTTCTTATCTGACCATTGGAGATGGAGCTTCCTCAAAGGAAGTGATGCCCATGTTTGGGATTCAAAACTATGGTGGATGGATATAATGTTGTCTCCATGCTTTTTCTTTTTCTAATCTTGGGAGTGCTGTGAGTGGAGAATGTTTCCTCCATTAAGTCAGAGATTATTGTCCCAAAATTCCTTTTGATTAGAATAACATCTGTCTGATGATGATGTCACTGAGACCCTCTTTGAATTGGAAGATGGCGGCTAGGTTTTTTTTTGCAACCCAGACATAAAGGTGTCAACCCCTGCAGATTGGGTATCGACCCTTTGCTCTGTCTTTTCTTTCCTGAGTTGATTTACAGGTGTTCCTCGTGTCAACCCTTATCTCATTTAGTGTCGACCCTTGCGGCTGAAGTGTATACTGCTTTTTGGTGTCGACCCTTGCGGCTGAGGTGTATACTGCTTTTTGGTGTCGACCCTTGCTGCTGTTGGTGTCGACCTTTGCATCTGAAACACTTAGTTGTTTTTTCAGCTTCTCCTTGGTGTCGACCCTTGCTTTTCTGGTGTCGACCCTTTGTTCTGGAACACTTATCACTCTTGAGGATTATTCTAGTGTCGACCCTTAGACTTGTGTTAGACAAAAATAGAGTTTTGCAACCAAAAGCTAATGCTCATTTTTTTGATATCCCAAAAGTTATTGAAACATAATATTCTAGAGTCACAAAACGAAGATACCCTAGCCTTAGGGTTCACTTTTGTTAGAGAGCCCAAAATTTGGGCGGGAACCGTCTCGAGATCTCAAAGCACGAAGACGGCGTGACAGCCGTCCTTAGCCCATCAGAGTTTGCCACGTGTCACGGGAATGGGAAGCGATACAGTCGCTGTGATTGAAGAGACGTTTTTGACCGGACATAGTTGTACCCGAGGTAAACTTAGCTCGGCTGGAAAGGCTAAAGGGTTCTTAGCTCGGCTGAAAAAGTATGACAAACTCTAGCTCGGCCAGAAGGCTGGTAATCCCAATCATGTTGCACAGATGGAATTAAGGGGCAATTGAGAGGGTAATTTTTGGGAAAATTGGGCCGAACTTCGAGTTTGGTTTTGAGGCCCAAAACGCAGTGGACTAGGAAAAAAGGCCGTACAGAATACTCCGACCCAGAAGGGCGAAGTTACTCCGGCCTTGGGAAGACAAAGCTACTTCGGCCCAAGGAGGTTTACAAACTTCTTTTGGTAACACTAGTTGGAAAGATAATATTTGGTGTTGTTTTGGACATTATACAATCTTTGAGCTGTATGAATCTTGATAACATGAAACATGTCGATGAGTAAGTAATGATTTATTGGGTGTCGACCCTTTGCTTTGTCTTTTCTTTCTTGAGTTGATTTACAGGTGTTCCTGGTGTCGACCCTTATCTCATTTGGTGTCGACCCTTGCGGCTGAAATGTATACTACTTTTTGGTGTCGAACCTTGCATCTAGAACATTTAGTTATTTTTCCAACTTCTCTCTGGTGTCGACCCTTACTTTTCTGGTGTCGACCCTTTGTTTTGGTACACTTATTACTCTTGAGGATTATTCTAGTGTTGACCCTTGCACTTCTGGTGTCGACTCTTAGACCTGTGTTAGACAAAGATAGAGTTTTGCAACCAAGAGCTAATGCTCATATTTTTGATAGCCCAAAAGTTATTGAAACATAATATTCTAGAGTCACAAAACATTTAGAATCATGAAGCACATATATTAATTTGAAAACTTCAAATAATTAGAAGAATAGAATATTTGTCACTAATCAAAATCAATAGAAATTCATGTTTGAATAATCTTGGGGTTAACAAATTTTTTTGTATTTTATATTTTTTGTCTATCTTATTGATGTCTTTATATTAATTTATATTTAATTTTTTTATTTAACATGAAATTATTTATTAAAAAATATTTAAATTTTAGATATACTTATATACAATATGTATGAATAATTCAAAATGAAAATTATTTGGTTCTGTTTTTCAGAAAAGAGTTTTCAAAAAATTCTACTTTTTTATTTTCTGTATTTTAATTTTTTTAATAAATTTTTTTAATATTTTAAGCAATTTTTTTTAATTTTTAGTATTTTTGTGTATTTATTAATTTTTTAAAATATTTTTTACAAATATTTTACTATTTAGATATATCTAAGTAAGGTGCATCTAAAAAAGTAAAAAAAAAAAAAAAAAAATTCTGAAAATTTAAAAAATATTCTCTAAAAAAAAAATAAAAAACAAAAAACTCAATTTTCAAAAAACTGAAACCAAACACCTTGAATAATACTCTACATAATTAATTTTTTGTTTTCTTCTTAATCCAATCATGACATTTATATTTTAATCTTTTAAATAAATTTGGTGTAGTTCTATCTCTACCTATCTTTATCTTCCACACAAAAATAAAAATAATTAATTAGAATCACTTAGTTTAACTAATTCTTTTCCTAATTTAACTATTATTTTTAATATCAAAATGAGCGTTTATTTTACTATCTTTTAATTTAATATAGAGCATATCATATAATATCATTATATGATAATTACACGTTTATAGCATAATAAAACTAAAATTATCAAAATAAACAAATAATTTAACTAAATTTATTATATATAAATATTCAAGTAATACTTTATAAAACGATAAGGTTAAAATTATTAAAATAAAATTAATATTATTCTTTTGTAACACATATCATAATATAAAATATATTACATTAATTAAAATTAATTCCATTATGATTTTATGTCAGATATCATATTTCTAGTAGTGATTTACATATATGTGTAGCGTTCAATTTGATATTAATTGATTAAAATAATAGAACTCAATGAAATTGACAAATGTCAAATGATAAATAGTGTGGAGTATTATTTTAAAGAGTATAAAAAATGATTGTGTATATTTAAGGAATCTATTGATGTTTCTTGAATAATTTTTAAATTTATAGTACTACTGATAATACATCACTACAAAGAATTAAGATTTAAGAGACCAAATTTAGACAGTTATTTTTTATTGACCAAATATTTTTGTTGCTAAAAGTGTCGTCATTATATTTTTAGTAACAAAAATTGGACATTAACGATGAATTATTAAATAAATTTTTTAAATTTATAGTACTACTGATAATGCACTACTACAAAAAAATAAGATTTTAGAAACTAAAATTTAGAGACAGTTATTTTTTAGGGACTAAATATTTTTGTTACTAAAAGTGTTATATTTTTTACAACGAAAATTAGACATTAGTGATGAATTATTATCTTTTTGAAACTAATTTTTGTCTCAAAAAATAAACCATTTTGATACTTAATTGTTTTATCCCTAAAAGTGTATTTATTAGTAATATTTTGAAATTTTTGTCGCTAAAAGTCTTATTTTTGACTTTTTAGGACGACCCTTTAGCGGCTATTCTCATAACGATAGAAATTGATCCATAAATGTCTTTTGCAACAAAACCAAAAAATTTGGTCTTTTGAACTCTTGTTTGTTGTAGTGCACCCTCATGAGTTGTACCAAAAAAGATATATAAAAATAATTTAGCTGGAATAAAAATTGTGTAGTTATTATGAGTTGTTACATAATTAATCAGAATTCCTTTAAGAATTGAGATTGTCAAGGTTATAGAGATTTTGTCCTGATTCCCTTTGAGGACACTATTTATGTTGAATTTATAATTTTTTATGCATCAATGTGAATAACTCTTGAGCATAAATCCTATCTTTGAGTCAATCTACCTTAAACACATTTTCATGTAATAAAATACTTAAATATAGATTATAATCAAGCACCACTTGAAATATAATTAAAGACCCGATGTACCACTCAAGACATAACAAAAAACATTGGAAATTAGCAAAGACTTTTTTTTTATTATTATTAATAACCAAAATAATGCATCATGAGTTATAACTAAGTCATAATTTGTATATTATAAATTTTTTTGTTGTTTTTATTTTTTTTTTTCAGGAAAAAAATATTTTGATACAAATGGAATTCATGATTTGTAATTTGATTAACACAAATGAGGATTTGATTTCAAGTTAAAAATACACTCTGTTTTTTTTTTTAACTTTGAAAGAAATTATTTTTCTGAGCCTATTTTGCATAAGATTACATATAGTGACAAAAATTTTCAGTAGCCATTAGCAAATCTATTTGTATTTAGCTTTCAATTATTAAAATTTTCTATAATTTTCTATACATAAAATATTAAGACTCAAAATTAAATAATTTTTATTTTAAAAATAAATTCACGTGCATTACACGAATCAGCTACTAATTTTTTAAAAATTTTACACCATATACTTTTATCTTTAGAATATTTTTCTTTCTTTCACTTATAAATTGATTAATTTTATTATTTATTTATTTTATGTAGGAAATGGGGAGATGTGGTACAAAATGTGGTGGCAGAGGAACCAGTTGGAGGACAAGCACCTCTATATGGGCGGGTCATATTCAAGTGGCCCATGATTATACCGTTAGTACTCAATGGTCAGCCCAAGGCTAAGTTCATCGTGGGCCGAAAACATCTCAGGGCCCGAATCTATAAGCCACGTCGTAGATAAACGGTGTCGTTGCTTTGATTTTTCCTTTTCTAATTAATTAACTACTCTGTCAAAAACCTAGCTCTTTATTTATTTAATACTAGTATCGTAGTTTGAAGTTTCCAAAAAATAAAATAAAATAAAATAGACACGCAAATTAAATTATCAATTTTTCATAAAATTAAAACAATTAATAATTTTATTTGTAGCTGTAACAAAAATTTTTGTAATTTTTATTTTTCAACACAATTTATTGTAAGTCTTACATATTTACTTACTTAAAAAAGTGACCTTTCTATTTTGAAATGTGTAAATTATATTTATTTTGAGTGTGAGTTATATCACATCAACTTTAAATCGAAACAATAAATGTAAGTTTTGAACAATACTTATTTTTGTGTAACAATACTATTGTAAGCAATTTATTATAACCAAAAATGACTTTTGACTCCCCTTGTTTTTAGTTCAATTGTCGCACTTGTACTTGGTTAAGAATTACAACATGGATTTTAATAATACTAATAGTAAGTCCACACAATTTGATCAAAAAAAATACTAAGTCCACACACGTACAACCTGATAAGGTTAGAGCCAACAATGATAAAGACAATCACATACTTTGCAATTATTATTAGCTCCAAAATCAGCTTCATCACTTTAAGGACACATCATGTTAAAGATGTTTTTTACAAAGACCCTACTCAAATGACCAAAAAAATAAAATAAATAAATAAATCTAAAAGAATGATATTTTCCTTCTAATGTTAGTGGTTTAAGTTTTGGTATTTTGGTTGTGTTCTGCTGGTTTTTGTGTGCTTTATTCCTTTTCTTTGGCTGTGTAAGGCCTTCAACCATCTAAAAAAAAAAATTCAGTGCGTTTGGTTTTGGTTTTTTGAAAAGTGAGTTTTTTATTTTTCGTATTTTTTTTATTGTTAGTAAATATTTTTAAAATTTTAAGCATTTTTTTTTAAACTTTTTTAGATGCATCTTACTTAGATATATTTAAAAAGTAAAATATTTGTGAAAAAATATTTCAAAAAATTAATAAATACACAAAAATAAAAAATAAAAATACCGAATTTTCATTTTTTTTTTTTTTTTGTATTCTTGATGTTTAGTGAATTTTTTAAAGATTTTTTTCATGAAAATT